ACAAAATAAGATGTTTATAACTTTTGCATTAGTTGTAAAATTTTTCTTGTCATTTTCATCACAATCCTTTTTATCTTTAGCAATAACTATATTATCTTTAACTACCATGGGAGTGTTATATCATTCTTCAATAATGTTCTAAATATCATACTCCATTTGTTGAAAATATATAGTCATCCTAATTTTCTAACAATCATAGTCACTACTATTAAAAAAAGATGGTCTAGAAATAGATTGACCTTTCATAACTCCATGGGCACCAATGGTTGTCATTATATGTAATCTTTACTCTAAAGACTTGTTAAGGTCAATATTTAGAATGTAACTCTGATACCAATTGTTGTCTCAAAAGGTAACCCAAGAGGGGGGTGAATTGAGTTTTTATTGCGGAAGTTACGAGTGTGAAAAATTAAAAGGAATAATAAAAATATTGAATCAAATAAACTTATACAATTCACCAAACAATAAATATAAAAACAATTTTAAGGAAAGTAAAGAGAGTAGGGATATGAGATGCAAAATCTTTTATAGTGGTTTGACTTGCTACCCAAGTTTACATCCACTTTCTCGAGCTCCAACTAGCCAAGGTTCTATTAGGTCCCTTGCACTTGACAGAGGAAAGAATTCCCGATTACAAAATCCCTTGTACTTGACGGAGACAAAAAATCTCGATTACAAAGCCTTTGATTTGGTGGGTTTTAAACACTAATACAAATAGCAATAAAGATGAAGTAGAAATGTAGCAATTCCTTTTAAGTAGAATTAACTACTACTCATGTACAAAAATAATCTTACTTCAAAAAGACTCTTTCAAGAATAAAACAATTTACTCTATACATTCTTTGATCTAATAATAAATAATGTAGTATAAAGAATTTTAGAGAGAGATTGATGAGACTTTGAGAGCTTGTTGTTGTGTAGGTCTCCCTTCCATCTATGCTCCTTTTATAGGTAAAAACACCAAATAGACATTAGAGAGACGTTAGCCTTTATGAAAATAAAATCATTTGTCAATAACAACTGTACATATGCTCACTTCAAAAATTCAAATAAAATAGCTTCGAACATTCAAAAAATCTTAAAAATTTCTTGAACACTTTTCAATGAGTCTATTTTCAAACATAAAAAGAATCATTGAATTATCGTATACTGTTTAAGAGAAATGATCAAACTTTCAATGGTATGTCAGACTATAAAATTGCTTTTGACAAAAGTTGATGACCAAATTCAAAATTGTCTAGAAATTTGAATTTGTCGTCAAAAATAACAAATTATATATTTTTGAAAATGTTATAATGTCTACTTTTATTTAAAATTAGATTCATACAAATTTGACTTTTATATTGTGAAATATTATAAAAATTTTGTGAAATACTCATTTTATTTGCTGACAGTGTAACTTAGCAAAACGGTCTACTTTGAAAAATTATATCTATTAATCTATAAGTGTAAAATGTGCATATTATAAATATATTCAAAACTCAGCACGTCTACTTTATAAATAAAATTAATTCAGAATTTTATTTGTATCATAAGTTATATTTTACTATTTAAAACTAATATCATGTAGATTTCAACATTGATTTTTTTTAAAGACAATATATGAAATTGAATAGCAAAACTGCTTTGATATAGAAGAGTATATAAGATATATTATACATCAAAATAAAGGTATTTGAGTATAGTTTCATATAAAATTAACCTTGCTATTTTTGAAATTTTATGTAATAAGATATGATCCATTTACTACATACATGTCTAATTTGATAATTTTACTTTGTAGCACATGTAGTATATGTATCTCCAAATAATAAACTCAACAATATAATTTATCCATATTATCCATTATATAAAATATATATATAATTTTAATTTATTTTATCATTATTAAAATAAATATGAAATCTTAAGCCTAATAGCCAACACGTCAATCACCCCTTTGGTGGGTCTTAGTTCGATATTTTAGTTACCCTTTTGGTAGTGGGTATTAGTTTGATTCTATATTTGGATTCATTCTAAATTTGGGACTCCCATCTTTGATATGGCTACTTATGATTTGTACGCTCAATTTATCTATATGGTTTACTTGCTTGATATAATTTGAGTTTCTGATATTATAAAATATGTTATGGTCCATATACGAATAATTTTGAAATTGTTTTGGAATGGTTATTCTTTTGCATAATTCTAGAACAGTTTCAAACATAGTACTTAATGAGTTGTGTAAATGTGTGCTTGCCCCAAGTATGACACACGAGCATGTTATCTATCACTAAGTTGTGGAACTCACCTACATCTTAACATTTTTAGATCTTAGTACTGATCTTCATCTAGGCCCTGCTGTTTGATTTGAGGATGAGCTTGTTGGGTGAGCCTAGATGGTGCGTGGGCAAGTATTTGGTCATCTGTTACCTTTGGGTATTTTTGGTTATTTTAGACTTATTGAATAGAAGCAGTATACTCCATTAGCCTCAAAAAGGACTTAATTTTGTTCCTTGTTTTGAGTTTGAATGAGGCTGTAAATGTTAAATTAATAATTAGCATATTGAACTACCTATGGTTGCTGTTAGGTTGTTTAAATGTTGTTTTATAGGTGTGTAGTTTGGGATTGTTCCCAGTATCAAAGAGACTTCACCAAAATTTTTTAAAAATCCCGTGCTTGTTTATTTCTATTAGTAATTTTTTAGGCTGATTAAGGTTAATAGGTCCAGTCTTAGTGCTTGTCATGATCATTGGATTTGAGTCGTAACACTTTTGTACCTTTAGTTGGAACACTAAACGAATAGTTACACTTTCTTTGAGTTTAATTATATATGCAGTTATCTTTTTTCCTCATATACGATATCAACATTAGGAGTCTACTTTGGGTAAGCAATCAAACTTTGCTTCTGCGTCAATATAATTAAGAATACCACTTACTTTTTTTCCTACAACTTCCAAAGTAAGTAGTTGGTTACAATTTCCTTAGGTTTTATTACTAGGTTATTTCAACATGAATATATTGCTCCATATTTGAATTATTATATTTTTATTATTATTTGTAACAAGCTTTATTAGTTCTCCCATATAATTACATTGAAGTTTCTTCCTCTAATCCAACAACACCAAAAAGAAATCAAAATGACATTGAGACTTTTTCTCCAAAGACTTGCAAATAGCTTGACTTCAAAATATTTTATTACAAAAACTTTCATACATATCAAGTGAACTCAAAGATCCAGATAAGTAATCCCACTTAGAAATTTAGTATCATTAACTTTAAAAAGTTAGCTTGCAGTATATATTTTGAATACCTTTTATTAGGCTGATAATATTGATGTTATACTGTTACACACACCCACATTGAGTTGAACTAGAATGTCATTAGCACTTCATCTATCCACAGTCAACTTATGCAATACTATTTTATGGTGTATAGATTAGTGCTTCAATGGTAGAGTGGATGTCATTTGCTGCATTGAACTGTTGTTCAATTTTGGTTTGGCGATGATTGTCATGGAATGAAATTTTAAAATTAAAACTATACATTTTTATAGCCAGTTTTGCTACTAAGTTGCTGAAATGTAACAACAGACACTAATTCAGTTGACTATATATTATCTTGCACAATTGTGAATGTTAGCAGGTTGTGTGTGTAGAGTTAAAGTAGTTAATTGTCTGTATGTCAATTTTAATTTTCAACAATTATAGCTTTGTTCAAGCACAGACTATTGATCATAATAATTTCGTTTTGATGCTGCAGTTGGTCAAAATTTTTGCCTACTACAGAGATATTCATACTCTTCTAGGCTTGTTAGATTTGGTCTACATTCTATAATAGAAGCAAAATATTTGGTTTCAAACCCTTTTGATGCAGACTATTGTTGGGAAATTTGGGCATATTAGAAGAACAGTCTACTCATTAGGAGACTCTCGAGTCTATTTTCAATTCATTTGCTTGCTTTGCATGAAATTGGGCTAGAATTGTATGCTACTATTAATGATTTATATCATCCATTGTTATTGATACAATATATATATTATTCGTAATTTTATTTAATTAAATTACATTAAACATTATAAATACTTACCTGTCTAATCTACCAGTAAATTTAGGTTAACATATTTATATAAAGATGAAACAAGATATTTAAAATGAGAAAGAATCAAAAGAAAAACAAAATTACAAATGAAACATATACTTAAAAATATATAAATATTCAATACATCAAATTTAAAAGCTCTATACGGGAAACACACTAGTTATTTCCATATGTCCTTGCACAAGAAACAAGTAGATTCTTTGGCCCTTTCTTCACTTACTTAGATTTGGAGTAAGTAATGCTGACAATAATCTTATAAATTTAACCAGTTTCAGGTAGCAGGATCTTTCAGACGAAAGACCACTTTGAAATGGCCATACCATAAACAAAGTTGAGGATGTTCATAATAGATCATCTAATGTCAAACACGCGGAGACCACCCAGCAGTACAAGAAGCTTATTTTCCATGCTTTACTTCAATATGCTGCACCAGAAAAAAATATTATTCAGTCACTCTAATTTCTTGGTCCAGTAAACAGATTTAATCAAGAAAAGAAAAGAACTTATTATGGTAGAAAAATAGAGTAAATTGTAAATCAATCTGGATTTTTAATTGGAACAGGAGTGGTTGTGATTGTTGAGTTTTCCAGAAACATTTGCCAACAATTGAATACTCAATTTCAAAATTAGACTGTGTGAATAGCACGTCATTGACATAGATTTCAAAACTGGGAAGCCTTCCTTCTAATTGTAGAAGAAGAAAAGATCACAAATCAAGTTCATGATATCATCTATTATGATGGCAGCTTGAAAACATAAATCATATAGGTTAATGCGAAACCTTTTCTAAAGTATAGGACAAATATTTATTCCAGAGATGAGACATCCAAAACTATGGGGAGCAATTGTGAAATGCCTCAAGATGAATTCAAAATGTATATATGTTCACACGGCTTCTAGGCCATAACTTGACAGCTTTTAAATGTCATTTTCTTCTGGTCCATGGGAGACAATTCCTAGACAACCATCCATGAAGATCACACTAAAACTCAAGAAGGCAACAGCAAAAAGTGTATGATACAAACAGCAGATGAGGAGCTTACTTGTATAAATAGGAAGCAATTCCCAGAATGACACACAACAGAATGATGTCAATACAGAAGTTCCTGCTGGACCTTATCTGTGAAAATAATTGAAACATTTGAAGTTACTTGCACCATGTAACAAACGAAAACAAATACCAAGCAGTTCTAAGCAGAAAAACTGACGGTGGTCATTTACCTGAGTAAGAGTTCGCTTCATTTTAACATTAGTATTCTTTAGATCAGCTGTAGCCTTATCCACCTGCAAAGACCCAAAAGCGATACTGCATTATGAAACTTCAACATATTTTGTTACTCCGATCTTGCAGAAGAGAGAGGGATGATAAGTTCCAACCTTTGTTTCCATTTCGTCCATCAGTGGAACTTGTCTATCCAATTCCTGTAAGAAAGCAACAAATACGTAATATTTTTTTTGTCTTTGAGAACATCAAGTCATATAAAAAGAAATGTGCAAGAGGCAACCTCATTCATATCAAGGGCCAAATTCTTCAGTGTATCCAGACCTTCTGATATAACTTCTAAGCCTTGATCCTGTGTTATAATCAAAAATAAAATTAGACAAGAGTCCTGAATTGTCAGTTAAAATGCATTGTGCCAAGGCTGAAAGAGCATCACTTGCCTGTTTCATCTTCCGCATTTCATATTCTTCCCTAAACTGATTTGATTCTTCAGACTGTTGGAAGTAATCATCACCGAGATACCCATCTGCAGTGGTTTGAAACAAAGCACAGGAGCTGGCTACAATAGGTAAGCTCTCACACGTCCCAATTGATAACTAGAAATTCAAGAATTAGCTTTAGCAACAAATATTACCTGAACCAAATTTGATGTTTTTATAAGAAGCTGATGCTGCCCAGCCCCAGTTTGCCTGACTGCAGATTCAGTTCCATCTGGAATTGATTGAATCTGCTCTTTAAGTCCAAGAACCATATCATTTCGCATGGATAGATCTTCTTGGGAAAGCCCTTTGACCTGTGGTTTTACAACATTTCCATTACAATAGCACAAACATGCTGTTGTGTCATCATGATGGTTTACAAAATTGAATTTCATTCAAGAAGCAATTTTAAAATGATGCACAAAAAGCTACAAAAAGCTAATCTCATGTTATTTTGGTGTGATTGAGGATGATTGTTTTGAGATACCCACACATGAAACTAAAACTTGTGAGTTTTGGCTTAAAAATGCCAGATCCATTTAGGACGATTGTCAGCGCATGGTGATCCATGATGTAGGTAGTGTCACTTCCCCTAACCAAGGCTTTTATCAGTTTTCATTGTACAACAACAGAAGCATCTTTAACCTATTTTCTCTTATTTAATCCTCAAAATTGCTATCTTTATCATCTCAGAAAGGTAGTCATTTGATTCATTTCTAACCCTTTCCCTTCTAAACTTACCACATTTCCACGTTACCGTTCTTATTCCTATTATGCTCACTTTGATTGCATGGTATTTCTTAAGCGTCCAACACTCAAAAACTACAAATGAAAGCTGTTCTTGTAACTGTTGCATTAAAGTTTCCTTTTAATCTAGCGGCTAAGTCTACACACTATCACGAGGCATGCTTCAACTTAGTTTATCCTGACTTAATGCTATATCTGCGCCAATTTTTCGCTTCATCTTTATGATTAGGCCCAGGTATGAAAACTTCTCACCCTTTGGTCTGTCTTTTCCTTCAATCCTAATTAATCTAACATCCTGGATATTACTAAACTTGTATTTTGTATGCTTGCTGCAAGTTGCAGAACTATGCTTCTTCTAATTCCATCTTTTCAAGTTGCAGCGGTTATTCACCAAGGTCTCATACATTGGAAAATCTAAATTCTTTAAGGGAAGAGTTAAAGAGTATAAAGCGTTGAAAAAGCTTTTTCCCGAGGGATTAGAATATTCTATGGCTATGGATAACTACTTATTTTATTGCTTTCCACTAACAAACAGCAAATATCTAAGGACAAGAATGAAGCATTATTTGTTTTCCTTTCTCTTCGAAATTTATTCCTTGCTAGCCATCAAAGCAATATTCATCAATATTCATACAGTAGAAATCACCTAGAAACTCCGAAAATACAAATTAAAAACACGGATTTTCAAATTAAGCTCTCCAGCCCCTAGCTTATGGGGAACAAAAAATCATTTTGCAGAAAGTAAACGCATGTAACATATATTCATCAGGCATGAAACAAAAAATGCAATTTCACCTTCTTGAGAGCCAATTTCTGCAACTTGGGAACTTCTTCCAACAGCCGAGCCTTTGTTCGACGAATCTCTGCATTCATCGCGACCACTTTAGCCCGGTTCGTCTCCATTGCTGTCGCCTCCGATTTCTGCAAACATTTTTCGAGATCAGTGACCATAAACAGGAACTCAAACGTACATATTACATACGTAAACGGGTTATTAATCGACGAGAGAATTGATTCTAACACGGAGCGCAGTTTCGATTTGCGAGTCAACGGCGGAGTAGAGACGAGAGAAGGCATCGTCGGTGGAGGCGTTGAGCTCTCGCTGCTTTTCGACGTCGTATTTTTCGTATTTCCTGCAGATAGACTCGACTCGGAAAAGAATGTCGATCACACTCATTTTTGTTCCTTGATTTTCTTACAAATGGGAAGTTGGGCAAGGTAACTTGGGACAGAAGCTGGTGGGAGAGAAGATTTTCAAATTTTCTCTTCCTTTCTCGCATTTTTCCTCCCCCCGTTCTCTAAGGGAAACCACGCGCAGGGCGCAGAAAGCGGTCGGGTGGGGAGAGAGAGAACAGCGTGGCGGGAGATGCCAGAACGGGTTTCGCAATGTGGCCAAATTTTTTTTTCCCTAGGAAAAAAAGGAAAAACTAATGGGAGAATTACAAAAAAAAAGGGTAATGTAAAAATTAAAACTTGCAATGAAGCCCAAATTAAAAATAATTTCAGAAAAAGTCACAATTAAAAAATTAACCCTTAAATGTTGGCCGCCTCCTTCTCCTCCTTGCCTCATCCAAGCTACCTTCTTTTTTTTTTTTTTCTTTTTTCCTTTGACTTCTAAATCTGCTTAAGTTTCAAGTTCTAATTTTTCATTCTTCTTCTTCTTCTTCTTCCACCCTCCCAAGACCCTTCATATGTCTGATCCAAGCTTCTCTTGCCCACTCAAAGCCCTTCACCCCACTTGATCCAAGCTTCCTTCAGCTTTTTCTTCTTCTTCCTTTGGCTTCTTATTGCTTAGTTCAAGTTTTATTTGTACTTCTTGCTGATGTTATTGCTCTTCTAGCCCGAGCTTCTTGTTTTGTACTTTTTTTACATAAGTCGGTAGCTAGACATATCTAGTTCGATGTCACACAACAACTTGGTGATTGTAAAAAGACAGATTGGCGAGAATAAAATAATAGATGTATAGTTGTAAAATAACAAATAGATGACTGTCAAATAACAAATGTATGGTTGTAATAAGATAGATGGGCGAGGATAAAAAAACAAATATATGAATGTAAAAAACTAGATGCGTGAGTGTGAAATTACAAATTTGTGATTATAAAAAGACAGACAGATGGTGACTCAAATAATAAATGCATGATTGTAAGAAAAAAGAAAACAAATATATAATTGTAGAAAGATAGATGCATAAGTGTAAAATTACAATTAGTAATTGTAAGAAACAAATCTATAATTGTAAAACAAATGCATAATTGTAAGTAAATAAAATATATATATATATATATAATTGTAAAAAGACGATGCGTGAGTGTGAAGTTATAGATTCTTGATTGTAAAAAGACATAAAATGGCATATAGGTGACAAGTAACAGATGCATAATTGTAAGAAAACAGAAAATAAAAACATAATTGTAAAATTATGGATACATGAGGGTAAAATTACATATCAATGATTATGAAAAAGCAGACGATTATGTGTAAAACGATAGACATATAATTGTAAATAGATGGATGTGTGACAAATAGCTAATTCATGTGCATAAAAACAGATGGGTAATTGTAATGTAACAGATGTGTGATTACAAAAAAGCACATAGGTGAGTGTAAACATGTATTTATTATGTCACCCTTCTATCTTTTTACAATCATGTATCTGTTACTTTACAGTCACATATCCATCTTTTTACAACCTTGAATATGTTAATTTATGTTCATCCATTTGCTTGTTTATAAAAATGTTTGTCTGTTTGTTTTGTAATCATGCATCTATAAATTTATAGTTAGTCATCTGTCATTGTACAATATGCATTTGTAAATTAATAATGAATCACCTATCTTGCATTCATACATTTGTTATTTTAGTTACTTATCTGTCATTTTGCTCATGCATCTTTTATTTTATTTTACAGTTATTATTATATCTTTTTCTCACATGCATCATTATTTTAGTCACTTGTCTTTTTACACTTATATATTTGTAATTTTAAAGTGCAACAACTAAAATGTTACCAACATTAGTTAAGTTTTGATACCCTTAATACGCTTTATCATTATACAAAACTCTTGAATACCCCTTAGCTTTAGTCGATTGAGCAAAAGAATCGAAAGAGACAAATAAGAGCTTGTGACCATCGTGTGACCACCGATCTTTTGACTACCGACATTGTGACCATTGGCTGTGCAGGACTTTACCTGGAGCACCAGTGATTGAACATGGATATTGTGACAATGATCGACACACCTTTGCCTTCCGAGCACTAACGGTTGATCAATATTGTTGCCGACCTCCATCTATCTTCAATATTAAACAAAAGTATTTGCTTTTCCTCTAGTGTGTTTGTCATGCTTGACAACTAGAAAAATGTTTTTACAATTTTACTATGATACAAATGATTTTTTACAATTGCATATAATGGATGATAATCACCATCTATTGATAACATCACACAATCAGCTAGTTTTTTACAATCATTGATTTGAAATTTTTATAATCATAGTTCAGTGTTTACAGTTTAGGATTTAGGTATAACTAGGTACATTACAATCCCAAAGTTATTTTGTTACAATCAGTTTATCAATTATTGAATTTTTACAATTAGCTTAAGTTCAACCCACAATGTTTTTACAGTCATTTATCTGAATAAATAAGCTATCTGTTTTTTTACAATCACCCATCTATAGTTTTACAATTGCGAAATTGTTTTCTTTTTTCTTTTTTTTTTTTTTTTTTGCAATCATCCATATGAATGTCAACAACTGTGCATTTGTTTAGCTACTTATCCTACTATATATTCTACAGTTTTACAATTGTGTAGCTGTTTCATTACAATTACCCATCTATTTTGACTATAATATCTATTCTTTTATCCATGCTTTGTTTGTCCCTTGCAATTAACTCCCTATGTAACATCCAAAACCAACTTCAAGAAAAAGAACAAGAAAATAAAAAGAAAAGAAAAAGGACAAGAAAAGAAAAAGAAAGAATGAAAGAAGAAGAATAATTCTTAAACCACTTTTGTTGAGTTTTAAATTTATTTAGAGGGTATTTTGAGGAATTTGGGAAGGTAGGAAGTGTTTTGGAAGTTTTGGAAAAAAAGAAGTTTTTGTAAATAAAAAAAAAAAAAGTTACTATAGCAACGAGACGGGGTTACTGTAACAACGAGGCACGCCATGGAGCGCTCCGAGGCGTGGCGTAGCACGATGCTCGCTGGTTTACCGTGCTGTAGCGCGGCCCGGGCGTGCTACAGCGCGGCGGCCACTGGAATTTGGCCGCTGCAGCGCGCTGGACCGCGCTACAGCGCGCCAAACACGGATTTTTGCCCATTTTCATGAAAATTTGGTATTTTTAACCCCTCCAAGGACCCCTAAACTCTCTTAAACCCCTAAACATTATAAAACAAAGATTTGAGAGATATCCTAGGGTACCCAAAATTCATCCAAAAATTAATTAGGATTAAATTGAGGTTAATTTTTAATAAATGGCAAGATGGTCTTTTGACTTTTGAGAGAGTGTTTTAAGTGTTGGAGGAGCCTTTAGGGCTCATTTTCGCCCAAATAGAGAGAAGAAGAGAGGGAGGAAGAGAAAGAGGAGAAAAGAGGCTCCAAGGTATGTAAAATGGTCCAATCTCAAACCCCCTTTGATTTTTCTTCAATTTTTCTACATGTTTAGCTTCCTCTCTTCGTTTTATAGCTTTTAATGGGTGCAGATTTTGTATTTGGATGTTATTGTGTATTGTAGAGAGAGAAAGTGGGTTTACCCTCACCAATGAGATATTTTACTTGAACCTTGTTTATTCTTGTTAAAGTAACCTTAGATATTGTTTTATTTGAGGATATTTATGTTTTTATAGTTGGATTAAACTTTGATTGAAGTGATTATGGTTGAAATGTGAGAGAAATGGGTGAGATGATGTTGAAATGGAATAAGGGCATGTTTGGTTAGAGTTGAAATGGGGAAAAACGAGATTAAAGGCATGTTTGGATAAAATGTAAATGGTAGAGAGGAATTAAAGGCATGTTTGGATGAAACCCAAATGTTAGAGAGAAATTAAAGGCATGTTTGGATGAAACCCAAATGTTAGAGAGAAATTAAAGGCATGTTTGGATGAAACCCAAAGGTTAGAGAGAAGTTAAGGGCATGTTTGGATGAAACCCAAAGGTTAGAGAGAAGTTAAGGGCATGTTTGGATGAAACCCAAAGGTTAGAAATGGAGGAAAATTTGTATTTGTACGTTGTAGGGTATAATTATTGTTTTCGTATAGTGTTTTTAGGAATTATCTCTCATGTTGTGTATCCCCCTTGTAGGAGAGGATACCCCAGTTATTTCAGACCCTGGACCTACAGCTTTAAGAGCACCCGTGTAAGCTTATTTTTGCAGGTGAGTGGGAATCTTCCTAATCTTAGTTTATTTCCGCAAATTATGATTTACAATGAACAATACTCATTTCAAACTCAAATATGTTGTTATTGAGAACATGGGAAACAGTCCAGCTATGTTATGATTTCGAGTATATACTTAATTGCATGGTTTTCATGAGTTTATGTTATTTTGGTGCCTTAGCACCCAGACCATGATGTCGGGCAGCCATCTGGGGCAGGTGGCAGTTCTACTTGTATGACATATATGTATGTTTATTGTCCCTAATGGAAAGGGACCATGCGCCAAAAACTATGTTAGCTTGGCCGGGGAGTGGCGGCCCCTAGCGCAAGCTACACGGTGTAGTAGCGCCAGATATATTTATGTTTTGCCCAATGAGGGCCCATGTTATATTTTATAATTTTACTGCCCCCAAACACCTTCGGTTGTGCACATCCACCAGAGTATACATGTGAATATGATTTTTATGATTTTTCTATGATGCCCATGAAGACTCTTATGATTCATGCTTATGCTCTCTTATGTTTTATGACTTGCAAAAATAACAATTTAGCTTTGCATTGTTGAAAATTCAATTATTATGCCTCATGATATGAAACTCTTCAAGAATGTTTATATTGTTTAAATTGATACAAAAAACTGATTGTTTCCACTGGGATTAGTTTGATTACCATTCACTGGGACGTTGGTCTCACCCACTCATTTTCCCCCTTGCAGATGTTAAGACATTAAGTTAGAACCTTGGTGTTCGTTTTGCTTATGTTGTGTTTTGCTCACGTACTAGCACCAGGTGGGCC